GCCTTAGCCTTGTTTGCCACTTTGTGGCGATTTCAAAACACACCCAGGCACTCCTTTGCAGGGCAAACAACCGCCTGGAGATGGTTTTACAGTAACCTTTAAGGAAGAGCTTAAACGGCTAGGCTTTTTCAGCAGGGTCCGTCCGACACGTCCGACAGACCCGTGAGAAGCGCCTCGGGCCAGGGATACAAACATGCCACAAGGATGACTTCCCCAGCCTGCTTCCTGGGTCAGCTGGCAGTGCCACTTCATCTTGAGGCAGGGCAAGCAATTTCAAAAGCCAATTGTTTATCAGACACCTTGTCGGCTGCCAGCCAACCGGGCGCCATCCACACATACCCATCTTCAAACTCTGAAGCTTTTGCAAGACCTTCTAGATCCCTTAAGTTCAGCTCTTCCCAAGACCTTTTCATTCCTCCGGAGGGATCTTGTGTGGAAGCCAGACAGCCCGTCCCGGGCTCACCCACCCACCCACCCACCCAAATCCACCCAGACTGTCTTACCTGCGGCTTTCGCCCACTTGAGTATGGAGGTCACTTCGTTGCCGGCCGTCGTGTTGCATTGGGACCGCGTCACGGCCGCACTGACCCCCACGGTGCCCTCATTGGCCTTCACGCCGCATAAGTAAGCGGTGGCAGTGCCCGCGCTGTCGGGTACCTGGGCATTGGTGTTGTAGGTCTGCCGGAGAGAAAGAATGGTAAAGTGGTGGGTGATTTCACGAGTGGGAACTGCTGCTTCCCACCACGGATGCAGCAACGGCCTTGGGGTACGGCTCTGGGTGCCGGCTCTTAAGGCTACCAAGTGGTGTCTGAGGGGGTCTTTGCAGCCTCTCCCCTCCTCAGGTGAACAATTTTAATGTCTCCGATTGGCTGCAGCTCTTTGCCCGTTTAAGCCGGCCGCCAACGCTTACAAGCAAAAGGCCCGGCCTACCAGCATGCCCCGAAACCTGTTTGAACTCTGCCTAGAACCAGGTGTCCCAGGATTTTACGAAAAGATTGATATCAATCCCCTTAATCCTGTTTGCGGGGCTTTGTGTGGACGTGGCACGAAGTTGGCAAAGCAAGGCGGCGGTTGCAAAATGTTCTCCTTTGAGCAAGCATGCGTGGCTTGTCCATTGTGACAACCACCGGTTTTAAATGTCTGCAGGGGAGGAGAGCGGAACAAGGAGCAAAAAAAAATAAATCAGAGGTGGGATATTTAAACGGAGGAGGAGGAGGAGGAGGAGGAGAAGAAGAAGAAGAAAAGAAGAAGAAGAAGAAGAAGAAGAAGAAGAAGAAGAAGAAGAAGAAGAAGAAGAAGAAGAAGAAGAAGAAGAAGA